ATAGATATATATATATATATATTTATAAATATATATGTATATGTATATATATATATATTTATATGTATGTATATATATATATATTTATATATATATTTATATATATATATATATATATATATATATATATATATATATATATATATATATATATATATATATATATATATATATATATATATATATATATTTTGATCATGAACTTTTCATTGCAAATTAATATAGCAATAATCTTTTAAAATTAATTTATAATATTATAAAGATACGTTTTATATAAAGTTATTTTAAGAAAGTTCTTCCTCTTTTTACTTTAAACAACTATACATTTTTACTTCTTGTTCGGTCCTACCTTCCTTTTGCTCAAAATATTTCTTAATCGGCAAATTAGTAAAAATGGTGAAGTCTTTTTCGTTAAACATTCTTTAGTTTTCTTTTTTATAAATTAGGTTCAGAGATAATATTTTAAAGTGATGCAGATTGATTTGATTGAATTGGTGACAGTTTATGGGCTACGGTCCCATCAGGTGACAAATTTACTCCAAAAAGTTGTATTGAGAATGTATGTAATACTTCAGGAGTGGGCTGTGTGCGAATCTTTGTGTAAAATATCAGTTTTATTTTGTGGCAAACAGACTTGAATAACAATATCTGATGATTCTTTGTGTTTTTCTAAATGTCTGATCTTTTGATATTTTCAATTAATAACGTTTCAGGTGCCACTATATATAATGGAAAGTTTATTGTTGAACTTAGTGGGATCTAATGGTTGAATACCGGCGGCTCGAAATCTGTTTGCTACTTTTTCAACATTCTTGAACTGATTAAATTCTTTATTAGCAGTTGAACAATTTTAAATTTAGTAATTCTTTGACCTGTGTTTACAGTCATAAAAATGTCACATTCCTTCTTGTATGCAGATTTGTTTATACCAACGTATGTTATATATGACGGTTACATAAAATGTGAAGTGTGTGGCGGAAGGGATAACAATACAATTCTACTTTGACAACAGTGCTGATAGAAATTAAAGCTTATATGGCTCACATGGTTATTCAGGATTAACATTATAGATTTGTCTTCGGTTGGTTTAGTAAAGAAGATAAGTAGATTAAATCAGTCCACAAATAACCATTTGTTGATCCAACCTGAGTCACTGACATTGGTATTCATGCTAGCATTGGCCTCACACAAGAGTTAATCATTCATGCGTTTTCTTTTAAACACAAAAAATGAAGGAATATACTGCTAAAGCACTAAATGTATAAACAACTGTAGTTTTTAAACTCCTTTAACCACTGCACAGTGGCCCAAAATTGTCTATAAATGGCAAAACTATTTATGGGTTATATATAGACATATGATATATGTTTGTAGATGTTTTTGGGCCCAAGGATTTCAATTTAGGCTTTATTTTAATTTTGAAGTGGTCATGGCAACACGATTGGGTGTTTTGAACGTTGTCTAAGGTAGTCATGAGATTTCTCAATGGTTTAAACTAGATGGGACATGTTTTATATCTAAACATATGTATCTGTTGTCAGGGAATTCAAATCTAGGCCCATTCGGTCTTTAGAAGTGGTCATGATTGCTCAAATGATAATTTTAGTAGTGGTCATGGGTGGTTCGGAGATGTCCCGATGTTTTTCAATTTGATGGGGCATGTTGCATGCTTATATATAGATAATTGAGGTCAAGAAATTTAATACAGGACATCTTTGGTCTTCAAAAGTGGTCATGACCACTCAGGTAATCATTTTAGGGGTGGTCAAGTGTGGTGATCCCAATGGTTGTTCACTTAGATGGTACGGCATTATGTGTCTAAATATAGATAAATGAATTCAATAAAATTAAATCTGGTCATATTTCGCCTCCAGGAGTAATAATAATTGTACAGGTAGGTGTGGTCATGGGTTGTAAAGATATTTAAAAGATTTTATTTTATATATATATATATATATATTATATATATATATATATATATATATATATATATATATATATATATATATATATATATATATATATATATATATATATATATATATACGAATCTAGGTGATGACTCTTTGGCCTCCTCAGTTTATTTGGAGTTCTTTTTTATTTTGGACACCTTAGTAGCATAGCCTCAAAGCATTTTCATCATAAGATTATAATTTGTTTGAGGCCGAAGATTTTCTTGTGTAGTGCTCTCTGTTATTTTAGTCTAAAACATTAATACTAGGGTGTATGAAAGGACTATTTTTCACAATTAAGTTACTGGTTTCCCATTTCATGGGCGTTATTTAAATGAACAAAACACATTTGACACATTTACAATTTAGGCGATGTTGAAATTGAAAGTATTATATGATGCCGTTCTCTCGCTTTCAACACAACGAAAAATTAATTAACTTTTTTTCTAGTTTTTACATATATAAAAGCATTTTGCATACACAAATACAAATATTAATTATTCTCTTCAGTGACGGATCCAGATAAAGAGCAAACTCCAAAAATTTTTAAGTTAATTCCTATGTCAAATAATGATGTTTTGCAAAATATTGCGATAATTGGGGCCTTAGACCAAATAAGCCCAAAATTTCGTCACCCCATCCATAATGTGAGCACAACAACTTTATATAATGTTTTATTTACTATTCTTAACTAGACTTATATCCATCGATAAATTGTAAGTTTCATAGTATTATCTCTCAGCGTTCAAAAATTATAGCTGTATTAAGTTTAAAACCCCTTTAATTTGATTGGGTTTCAAGTTTTATATAGTCATAATTTTTAAACACTGAGAGATAACACTATGAAACTTTATTTATGGATAAAAATTTATGGATAAATATAGATCTAGTTGGGAATAGTACAAAAAATGTTTATCAACTTGATGCCCTTCCGTTTGGGGTGAGACCGGGATGAAATTTTGAGATTTATTTGTTCCCAGCCTCCAAATCCTTATTTTTTTCCTCCTCTTTCATAAGATGTTCCATAACTTTTCACAATAACAGTTAAATAATTAAAAAAGGTTTTAACAAGATTTAAATGATTAAAACTGTTTTTATGCGTCTAATTAAATAAAAAAATTAAAAAAAGCGTTTTTCAGTAAAAATCTACGATTTTTATAAAGCAAGCATAAAAGATAAGTTTTTATATTTCTTCTTCTGACTTCAATATTTGATGTAAATAGACTTATATAAACTTTTAAGAAATTAATTTTTCTTGCTGCCCTTCTATTTTTTTTTTACATGACTTGTTACATTTTCAAAAGCAGGCGCAGCTTTTAGAATAGACAAGTTTTATTTATATTTCTTTTAATTGTCAAATATAATTTGACAACATAGTCTCTTTTGAGTATTTTTTAATTTAATAAATTGTTTGTGTTTGGCACAACGTTAATTCTATTCGTATTCGGTTAAGCCATTTAAAATTGTTTATCAGGATTGTTTTGCGAGGAAACAATACATTTCTAAAAAATATTTTTGATAAGCGTTTGCCATTTATAGGGCAGTCAACTTTTTGTTTGCAATTACAATTTTTAGAATTTTTTTCTTTAAGAAATTTATTTTTTATAAATCAATCCAAAAATGTGGCCTTTCATCATTCTTTCAAAATTTTTTGTAAAGCTTACTTTATTAATATTTCTGCTACAAACTTTGAGCAAATTATTAATAAGAAGGAACTATTTGTAAAAAGAATGCTTTTCCACCATTTGTTGAAATAATTTAATTGTACGGAAGATTAAACCAACTTATGTTTCTTTTACTATTATTATTTTTGTTTCAAATTTTATTTCGAAATTTTTAAAACCACTTTTTTTAAGACCATTGTCAGACCAACCATTTTAAAGACTTAAAAACATACTAATTAAAAGTGTTTTGTTTGAGTCTATTGTTAGTTGAAAAAGGAATTTGTTTTAAGATTTGATGAGGCTGTTACGAACTTATATTATTAAACAATAATACTTCATAAGGTTTTTTATAAGGCTCATAGGAATTTTCTAAAAAGTTAAATGCAACATCAAAAAAATTTACAATTTTTAAATTAATATTAATTTTAATTTGGAAGCCAATTTTTTTGAAAGTTTTTAATAAATATATTATAACTTTTTTAGAATTTTAGTAATTTTTTTCAGGCCTTAATTGAATTTCCAAGATTTCCACAACCCTACTAGTAAATTAGAATTGAGGATAACTTGTCTTTCCAGGACTTTTCATACATAACATTTCTTAAATTTCATAAAATTTTTTTAACCCGTATAAACATCCTTGATACTTTAGTTTTTTATTTATTTATTTATGTTATGTTTTAAATATATTTATTTTACGTAGAAAATTTTTAAATTTTAAAAGACTACAACCAATATTTACTTTTTATTTAAATCAGTTACTTAATTCTCCTAATAACGTCTTTAAATGTATAGTAAAAAAGTGGATCGTGAAAATTAAAAACAATATATATAATATAATATTATACACTGCTGTAGACAAAGTTATGTTTTTATAAGTATTTATAAATATCATTAAAATGACAGTTTTAAAATATTCATAAATATAACTGACATGCAAAAAATCATAAAAAATTGTTAAATATGAACTAAAAGTTAAAGGTTAATAAAAAAAACACATTTATTTATTTTACATTTAACTTTAAAGTAAAATCACAAACGCAGTTATCAACAACTTCAATTTTTTTGATCTTAAGGCGTTCAGAAAATCGATTTTAGTCATTTTGATGACAAAAACAGAAACCTTTAATATTAAATTCATCAATGGACATAAAAATGTAACAAATAATATTATTATAATGACAATGTAATAACAATGTAAACAAATGTAATAAAAGATTTTTTTATTTTATTTAAGCATTATTCTTATTTAAAACCTAATTATTGTTACTTATATTGCTTCTTATAAAATAAAATTATTTGACATAAAAAAAATCTATGGCTGTAGCGGCTTGGCAAAGTATCGTTTTTAATTTATTAATTTTTATAAAAAAAAGTGTTTACAACA